AACTATATTTGTTTTGTCAAAAATATGCGAGTACAAGAAGGTATTATTTAGAAAAAAAAGTAATCCATGATGTTAAAAAATAATGTTATAAATAGTTTTTACAAATACCTGATACACTGTTGAAGTAGCAAATAATTGTATTGGAGTAAATATATGCATACAATTGTATATATATATATATGTATTTTTTATTCTTTGTAATAATTAAATTACTATTTTCTAGTTACTCAAAGAGTCAAATACCAGTTCTTGAAACTCAGTTTACTTGCATATTCTTATATCAGGCATACAAACGTTGTGGGTTTCTGTAACAAAAAATATTCGTATGCATGAGTAATGCTCTTAATTAAAGTTTATGTCGAGAATTTTTACGAAGCCTATAATCGGAAGGTTTCTTAAGGGACAATTTTTACTAGTTTTCTACAGTTAAGTTGGTAAGTATGGTAGGCGAGTAAAGTCTTCTAACGTTTGTTTGTTTGTAGTTAAGCACAAAGCTACACAATGGGCTATCTGTGCTCTGCCCACCACGGATATCTAAACCCGGTTTTTAGCGTTCCTAGTCTGCAGACATCCGCTGTTCCACTGGGGCCTCTTCTAACGACGCACACAATTGCAGAGAAAAATTAGATAGTATTTAGAAAAGTCATATAAATTCTCAGTATTTTTATAAAAATCAGACTAAGAAAAATACACATATATAACAAAAAAATTTGCAATAAGAATTTATGTATTAAACTTTTACAAATGTTAAATTATGCGGTTGCTATATTAGAAAATATTTCTATATGAATATTTTAAATGTCGAAATATACCATTTCAAAATTTATTTTTTTAGTTATTTTCGATATAATACTTATTAAATCAAATGTCCATGAGGTTTCTGTTAATAAATAAAGCTTGATAAATTGTTCACATATAAATTTTGCTGTCTCTGCTAAGTGAACTGAAAACAAAAATGATTTTGCTAGTTAGCTTGTTGCTTGACATTAGTGAGAAGTGAAGATTTAAAATCAAATGGTATTTGTTTAGAGGAGAATTATATGAAAATATAATTTTAATTTAATCTACGAGAATAAAGAATGTGTTAATATGTCATTATTATGATTCATAAAACACCGTTATATGATTTCATAGGTAAGTTATAAAGGTTAAAGTTAAAATTACAATTTTGATAAGATATGATAACATTACAAGATATATAAATAAGTGGATATGACGGCGTACAAAGTTCTGTGATTATAATTTTTGTATTATTTCAAAATGACAACAATTACATTTCTAGTGATGTTTTATTGGTTTTAACATGTTTCTGTGCTTATTTGGATACTTCTTGTGTAGCTATTTTATTCTCAAACACATAGTAATGAAAAAGTAGGTTTCACTCTTTAGAAAATAACTGGGCAGCACCGTTCTTTATGAGATTTATCTTAATTGATCTTTTATTTATCTATAGAGGTGGCCTTTGTCTTAGTAATCTTCAACTGATAACTTAAACTGGGCTTTCCCTTAGTTAAAAAATTGGTTATTTTACATAATTGAAATTCATAAGCATGGAAAAAGGCTATGTAGATATATGTGCGCATAATGCATATAGGGCTTAGAATGTTACGCTAAAACTATTTTGAATATCCAAATCAACAAATAACTCTACAACTACAACCGATATATGTTCGCGGTGGAACGGACTGTATCAGAACAAAATTTTGACGTTGTTTGGCGTTCCACAGGTAGTATGATGTAAATGAAACTTGATCACTTCTGGGAAGGGTGATTAATAGTTATTTCCTAAGTAAGATATCCATACACCCAGGTCATAAAGATGTGTTCAGATCGGGGATTTATAATATCCAAGATGGGGATGTCTTTTATACTTAATGGCATTGAAAAGCAAAGGAATATGTATAAAGTGGGGTACTAGGATAAGACTATCCAGAAAGAGACCTGCAAAAACTCATACGTCAGTCGTATTAAGTAAAGTGCTACGTCTTCTTGTAACAGATAAGAATACACGAACACAAAGCTCAGTGGCGAAAGTCGTTCATATGTCTCGTTCAGCAATACGGAACATAACCAAGAAGGACATTCTCGCTACAATTCACGTGTAAACAAGTTGCTTCAACCAATACATACCGCTGGAAAATTAAGTGAATGTTCACGCTATTTCACGTGAAGACATACTGGTCAAGTGGTCTATGGATTTCTATGCAATCGGACTGCTATCCTCATTTAACAGACGGATCATGGAAATGTAGGAAGGAGGAATGTGTTCTGAACATGACAGTCTTACGATGAAGCATTTTACATTGGAAACTACTCTGTTGGGCTGTTGTCAAGATGCGTGGTTTTCTTAAAGAGATTGGTGGGACGTAACGACATGGAGTTTAACAACTTAGATTCCGATCTAGTTCTAATATAATGTATCATCTTCCATACAGATAGATAGATATATAAGGCAAAAAAGGTTTAATTTATAGAATTTGATTATCAGAAATACATGATAAATGCAAATGCAGTACTACGAACATAATTAGACCGTTCGCAACCTATTGGCTAGTGCGCTCGAGCTTTTAATCCCAGTTTTTGTGGTTCGTGGCCTGTTGATTGGAAAACGCTTTCCGCACTTTGGGGCCGCAATTGATGGTGTAATCTTACTATTCGATCAGTTGGTGGTGGTAGCTGTTGATTAGATGCCTTCCTTCTATTATATTGGTTCAAAGTTAGCGACAGCTATACATAGATAGTGTTTTGTGTGAAGATGTTCAAACAAACAAATAAAACAAATCTGTTAATCAACGCCGTTTGTATGAGATGAATTTCAAGAAGATTGTACAGTCTTAGATCTCCTACGTTATGTTTATTTATATGTGTTTATATGTAAACAGTGTGATATGAAATTTGTTTGTGGGAAAAGAAGGTGGAGGGAAGAACATGTTTTTACAATTGAAAATTTTAACTTCAAGGTGGAATATTCCGTACAGGTACGTGCTTCATTTATCATATTAATATCTTATGAAGTTGATCTGTCAGCACCTAATAAAATAAGTAAAAAAAAACAAACACGCATAAGATTGTGGTCGGTGTTTACCTGACATTCTTATAAGGTTGAAACACTGTGAGTTTACACATTGCATGCAGTACACTAATTCAGAGCTGTTTTAAAAGCGTTATGCCTTTATCTTGTGGGATGCTTCTAATATAAATCATATCTAGTAGTGTATGCTAGAGACTTTATTTCTAGCGAATACGATTTTTCTAAAAGTTCATAAGAATACTTATATTCGGTATTTTTTACTTTCGTGTCTGTCTTCTGTCACTTTTATTGATTAAAAGGTTATAATCTAAATAATTTATTTTAGTTACCTTCAAATAATAGTGTTATGTATTGTTAAGGTAACAAATATAATTGATAGTTTTATATTTTTGTTTGCTACACAACGAGCTGTGATATGTTAGCTTTGGATATAGAACTCAGATCCTTAGCGTTATACGCCCTCAAGTTAACGTTTTGGGAGAAAAGAATCCGCCATTTTTATTTTCAGCTAAAACAATGAGTTTTTTAGTCCAAGAATAAAAATAAAGAAGAATTCTATAAACTCAACCATCTTTGTACTACTTAATGCAATTTAGAGCAGAAGTATCGACTTCAAAAAATTGTCGTCGATTTAAAAAAGATCGAGTTGTTAAACATGATTTTTTTCTCTTTAGTTTGTTTTAAGATTCCGTTAAACTACTTACAGAAATTGAAGTTTTAATTTCACTTAAAAAGTCCATCAAACTTTAGAGCAAGTATGAGAGTGATCTACTTTTTTGTTATTTCGTTCCTTAAGATCAAGACATCCACATTTTCGACGTTGTTTTTTATCTTGTTCGTAATAGTTTTCTCATCAAGTTCAGTTATTTTAACTAAGTCACATTATATCACATAGATGTTAAAATAAAGGACAGAACACCATGTATTTTAGATAAAGCTTTGAAAATATTAGTACGTGTGCTTTGTCCAAAATACATTGAAAATGCTTAGCCGTCTACAGTAATTTAGTATTGTAAATGATTTTACATTTAAAAATGTATAACGTAGAACCACTAAGAATAACAAAACAATAGTTCTTTTTCATGATTATAGTGTTAATATAAACAGAATTACTTAGAAAAAAGGACTGTAGGAAGAAATGTCAGCTACCAACTATAGTTTACTTTTAAAACATTTTGCCTTCATGTTGCAGCAATTTTGAATGGTTAGACACTACCACAGCTAAAAAATGTGACACACGATGTGTGAAAAGCTCACTACAGGTATGCAAATCATACCATTTTTAGGGAGGTCTTAGGGCATGCCTTCCAGAAAATTTGTGAAAATATATTGCTAAAAATACAAAATGAAGTGTTGTGTGCTGCGCAATACGTCAAAAGTAACAATGATTGAAATTTCTGAATGATCTTTCAAAGTTAATTATCCTTTTAAATTCGACAGGATTATCATTTGAGATAATAATTCAACTTATGTGAGATATATTAATTTCAAAGCATAAAACTTGATGATAAATTTTTAAAAGATCCCACTTGTCCAGTGGAATGTTTTCTACAGATACGATAACCTATTTCTACTGGTATCTGCTTCAAATGTTTCGGAATCCTTTCTATGACGTACGACAGGTTCCAGTAACATACTTCTACGGTGTTGTTTTGAATAATTCGGAATATCTTGTGTAAGGCACGACAGGTTCCTTCAACCCATTTCTATTGGTGTTGTTTGAAATGATTGAAAACCATTTCTCTTTAAGGTAATCAAATCTCAACGACTAGGTCTCACAAGGATAGTGTATCCCCCTCTCGAATAAGTCAGTTGGGAAACACGTTATAACTACTTTTAGTAATAATTTGTGAAACTGTTGACAAAACTTTGCTCCTTCGTATATATATGTCAAACAAATTTCTATTGTGAGAATAGGACAGAATTGGAG